ATCCAGAGCAGCCCCGGATTCAAAGCGGATCGATCGCGTCTCTACCACAGGCAAGCGACTAAAAATAACCAAGCCACTATCTGTCCTCAGTTTCAGGATGAGTCGCTAGTTCGAACGCTCAGCAGAAAAAAAAATGTTGTCACAAGTTCCTCTGAGAATGTGGATAGTCAAAAAGGGTTACAGCTGGTCCTGATGGAGATTGGTTCAGAATACCTCATTGGTTATGATCAGTCTGATGTCATTCTGATGTCAAATATGAAGTGCCACCCACCATCGTGCCCAGGCACAACCTGAAAGAAACTGTTCAAACAAAAACACGCGTCCACAATCGTCCACACGTCTAAATCGTCTAATCGCAAGCAAGAATCCATTTTCCCCTCCTGACCAGATCCAGGATAGTTGGATTGGGTCCAATCACCGCATTGTATCCCAAAGATGCCATGATGCGAACAGCAAAGGACTGAGCACAGCAAAACGGCACGAAGGGTGAGGCAAACAGCTCTTGCACTGCGATGATGTCAGGGGCACGGCTGCGTTCTGCCTCGCCGGAAACATGGACAGACATCTGCGAATTGCTGTGATCGAGCATTCATCATAAACAAAGGTTGGCATCAATGTCAAATTCTTCTCAAATCCCACTACAATATATTACAATTAGAATTTATAGTTGCACCATGTTGCACCTATGCATCATGTTGCATCTCCCAAACAGGCGAAGAAAACACGAGTTCATCCGTGTTTGGGTGCGCCTTGGGAACTCCGAAAGTCTCGGCTTCCACCTCTGCTCGGATCCTCTGCAAAAAGGTCTGCAACCGAGCGCTGCTGTGCAGGCTCTCGTGGCCACGCATGGAAGCCACGCCAAAGGGCAAGATGTTCATGTTGAACGACAGCAAACCCAGATCTGGAAAACCTGGCATAAACAGATTGGGGGACAGATTGTGCATTTTGTGTTCTCATTCTTAGCATAGTTCGACCCATTTTCGAGTGCAAAAATATCCGGAAAGTCCCGAAAAATTCTGCTGGTTCCAGGCTTCAGCCCCTGCCTGCGAGTAAAGGCTCAAGCTCTCCACAGCTCACATCATCCCACTTCTCCCGGGGCACAGAGAGCAGCGCCGTCTCCCTCCTTGGAAAGCAGTTGCACTGTGTCACTAGTTACCCTCTGTGCAACCTAGTGTTCATTCAATTTGATTCAATTTGTGCATAATTTCCAAACAGTTGAAAGAAGATTGTTTTCCACTGGTTTTTTTCAATTCTTGACCAATTTCTTTCCGGTCCAGAAAACTGTACAATCTGAGCTGATGACACAATGCACTGTTGGAAGACTTGATCTGCAGTGAACTTCTGCAGGCGTCGGAGCATGTCCATGTGTGCGTTTTCCGAAACACGTGAGGAACGTCCGTGGGCCAACAGCTGTGTTCGCTGATATTCCTCGGTCGAAAGCATGTTTCTGGCACGAAACAGCATTTAGCTTTCTGCTCATCTCATTCTCCATCTCATTCACACGAAATCACGGGCAACTTCATAGCACTACTCACATTGTTTGTCTGATTTGCAGCATGTCCTGCATCGTGCAAGCATTGTCTGCATTTGTGTTCACAATTTTCCCTACCATCTGACCATCTACTGTGGTTGCCTCCAATCATCCCTATGAATTATGTTGTACAACCAGTTATTCTTCCTGCCCCCATTCCCCACTTCAATTGCCCCACCAAGAAGTCATCTTATATATCGTTGCTTGTGTTCTTGTTTGTATTAGTTGTTATCACCTGCACGCTGTCTGCTTCGCATGAATAGATCTTTAGCTTTGCTTCAATGCCCACTGCAATCATTTGTGGCATTTACCTGTAACATCTTTCTGCCATCAACGCCTGCACACGAATCCATTAGGAGCCTGTTTCCCTCTAATGACTGTCTCATCAACAAATGATTCCCATGTGCTTCCCCTCTTTTCTTTTTGAATGTTTTACTCAACGTAAACCTGCAAGTCAAACTACATGACATACTTTTGTGACAGACGTTAGACTTATGTAATTTCCAGTGCAACAAAGGGCCACATCCCAAGAAACCAAGTCCAAGCTTCGTTGACAAAGTCAGACTCAGACGTCTTGATTAGCTCATCTATCCGCCACCACGCCACCTCAATCTTTCACGGACCAGAGTCTGGGAGGGTAAGGACCTGGTCGTGACAAGAATCCAGTCATGTCCCTTCCATTCCCTTCCTACAAGCTGTAGCGCCAGCCGCGCTGCTCAGCTCTCAAGGCACCTTGTGGAACATGGGACAGAGCTGGGCCCTCAAGGCTTCCGGTATCTCAAACAGTTTATCGCCTGGCGGATGCTTCACTCGACTCAGAACTGGTTTCTACTGATGAAAACAGGTCTGTTGCACAAGATAACGCCACATATGAACACCGCACAGATCACAGATCACATTGTCACATTGTATCTACAAACAAGAATATCATAGCGATAATTCACAACCCTAGAAGATGGCTTTGCCTCTCGTTCACCGTGGCATCATACATGCAAGAATACAGCAACTACCAGGCCACACCGGCCTTTGGCTTCACAACATGCTTGCTGGCTTTCCAGGAAGTGGTTGAGGAGGTACACAAAGCGATCTGAAGCACGTCGGCTCATGCTACACACAAAGTGGAAGGTCTTGTGCGTGCCGTGGGCCTTCAGCGGCCCAGGTTAAAACAAAAAAAAAGTCAGGTCCCATTATCTATGTTACGAAACGCATGATACGCATGTCCGAAGAATCTCCGTGTCGGCAAGAAAAAAGTCTTGTCTGGACATTGCAGTCAAGTGCAGAAAGAAAATCAAAATGGCCATCCGAGAGAAATTCCCACCACGCTGAAGTGCCAGAATCTGCATGTATCAAACCTCTTGCTTAATCAGTGCTGCTGCAAGCACTAAAAAGATCTGAAAAGGCCAAACTTCACAAGCCATAATGGATTGTGGAAATCCCTAGAGTAGATAAGAGATGATAAGAGTAGTATAAACCCCGAACCAATTCTCAACCAACAGGGGTGGCAGCCACTACTCGGTGCATCTGCGCCTGCAAAGTCACTTCGAAAAGCATGGCTCGCAGCGCTGCAAAGCCCAATTCTTCTCTTTCGGCCACGTACGATCCTAGTTGCAACGCTGGATGTCGCCATGTCGCTTGGTCAGTCCAGGAAGCCAAAATGCTTATATATATAATATATATATATATTATATATAATATATATATATAATATATATAATATATATATATAATTCCCTGAAACTCACTGCAACATCAAATCTTCCGAAGAACCTCTCAGGTTTCCTTACAGCAAAAACACTACTGTGGCACTCCGAGGACTATATTTTCGACGAGGCACGAATGTAACGCTGTGCTTTCTTCAGTCCAGCGCTTGTGAGTCCTCACTTGGAACACAACTCACAGGTGGAAATTTACCCCGTGTCTGAAGAATTCTGAAGATACTCATAAAGTGATAAAGTGCTTCTTCACACACATACCAAAGTGTTTGCTAAGGCCACGTCCGCGAATGGCTGTGTCTAGCGGCGTGACGTCAACAGCAGGCTTCCACAAGGCGCCCAGCAAGCGGAACTCTCCGGGAAAGTCCACCAAAATCCGACCGCCGCCGGGTTCAGATTTCAGATAGTTCACAACCTCAGAGGTCAATGGAAGCAGCCAGCAGCAATGATGTCCGCTCGGATTAGTTCGTACTGTTATGTAGTTATATGTAGTTATGTACTGTTGGACTCCCCTGTCTCTTCCAGTTACATTCCCCTTTTCCACTGTCCCTCTTTACGGACTGTTTACCTTTAAAGTCCAAGTGGCTGTGTTCTGTGCGCACAGAACTTCCAGGCTGCCATCGGGAGCAGATCGAATTGGCCTGGGCGGCTGCTGAGCCCTGAGCGGTTCCACCGGTTTCTCCGGTTCCTACCAGGTCCAATAAGACTCATGGAGAAAAAAAAACACTCCCAACCATTATATACCCAGTGTCCTAAGAACCGCATGTACAGAAACAAGATGAAACAAGTACAGTAGGGACAGTACCTCTGATTGTCCTCCTAAACTCAACTGCACAGCTTTACTGGACTTGACAACACAGTCATTGACAACACATTGTATGTCATTGAGTCATTATCAAGGATGGTCAAGGATGGTCAAGGATGGTCAAGGGACATGATGGTGGCGCCCCATCGCATGGGATCCGACATCCTTCGGGATGCCGTTGCTCGGCGCTCGAAACGCACCCTGTTGGGGCTCTCGTCCAGCTCCATGGCATCGCTGGGCACCCGGGAACGAGGCTCGGGCACCTCATCCCCAGCTCGCAGCGGTGAATCCATGGCCGGTCCAAAAGGGGTCGTTTCAGCTTGGAATCAGCTGGATGTTTGCTCCATGCCAAACTGGCTGCCAGAACAAAAGGAGGTCTAGTCTGCTACAGTTACACTGCAATTTCGAAACAAAACTGGCATCACTGGTGTGCAGTGAGACCAGGAGTATGTGACAGGATGTGACAGGGTTTGTTGTAAGCACCTTCGACGTTCGACGAGCGAAACTATGCAGGATTTGCTTCAAGTTGATGCAGTTTCAACATGGATCCTTCCACAAATGGAGAGGCAGGCTGCGGGGACATGGAGAGTGATTTTAACTCTTCAAGAGCGATCGATTGTGCACAAACCAAACCAGAAAAACAAGATTAGGCAGTGGAGTGTCAAACCTGGCAAACCACAAGCAAGCCTGATCCCAAAACTGAGGACTTGGCATCAGCCTAGCTCTGGGCGATTTGATGACCTTGCCAGCTTGAGAGAAAATTCTAGATCTGAGCACGGAAATTCATTATATTATAGAAAAAGAAAACAATTTGAGGACAACAAAAATGCACATAAGACCGCAATCACACTTGTGCCCGTCGTTCAATCTATACACCGACTTGGTCCCATTTGCATGTTGAACCAGAAGTCTAATCATCTAATCTAAGTCCCCTTTCCCACAGCAGTGACTCTTGTTCCTCTATTGCAGTTGGTGCATGGTCTCTCTTGATGCAAACCAGTCCTTGAACGCAACCTCCAGTGAGACTTGTGGGAAAGCACTTTGAAATTGACAGAATGCTGCCAAACAGGAGATGCAAGGAGTATGCACCGCATACAACTGAACAGTCCCTTGAACTAAATGAAAATCGCATGGCTGTAAGCCTTCTGCCAGAAGATCTGCAATGACAGACAACAAAGCCCAACGTTCTGCATGATTCCCCCGATCATGTTCCACAAAAATGCTTAACAAAGGCACTTCATCTGTTGGTAAATGCTTTTGATTTGAGGCAAACCCAGGTCTTCCTTCCATGGTGAAGTGTCGGTCCTGCCCACGACCATCGTGGCTATCCCCCCTACCCATTTTGGGAACAACCAGGTCATAGGCCAGCCAAACTGCCAGCTGTTGCGCCAAGGCTTTCTCTGGCCTCTGCAGCGAGTTGGCACTCATTCTCGTTGTTTTGGTCCATGGAACCAACATGTTTTTGGAGTTGTTTTCCAAGCTTCTCAGCCATAGCCTTTCGCGTAGGGCATGCAAAGCTGCTAATTCGGCGTTCTTCTGCCAAGTAAGGTCTGAACCAGAAAAACCGAGATCACGAAGTGCCTCTGCTGTGAAAAAAGATCCCAAACCGAATTGTTCTTCCAGCCTAACATTATTCAAGGCCAAGGTCCGGTCTTCCTGAGTTTCCGCCTTTGATAACAGCAACAAACACAACAGAACAGGTTGGTACACGACCTCCCTGAATAGATTCAATGTCTCAGCAACCTCTTCTGATCTGACTTTGCGAAGTAACGTCTCGACCCCAGCAACGATGTACTTGGTGATCTCTTGACAGTGCTCACGAGGTACGTTTTGATCCATACTTTGGCGGCGATGTAAGGCATCGAACACTGAAAGGTTCAGCAGGTTGATGATTCTAGATGTAACATCTGCACGCGGTTGATCCTCCACCTTCATTTCATTCTCTAAATATCGCCCGGTAGCTTTTGGTCTACTTCCTGGTTTCGAAGGCATTGCATCCAACACGGAGCCGAAATGCAGAGGTCCAGGCTGTAATTGTTTCTTCTGCATGTCGTCCAACACGCTTAGGGCCACTGGCCAAACAGCACCACGAGTGAAAGCTGACAGTAGTGCGGTGTAGGTCACCGTCAAATCCTCTGATGACGGCTTTGCCGCCAAACCAGAAACCACACTAGGCAGGTGGAGAGAAAAAATATTCAGAGACATTTGCCATTTGGCTCCCTTCTCAGAGGCACTTAGAAGAGTGTTCACAGAGGTCAAGTCGGGTTGCAAAAAATATGTGTTTTGCATCTGATGCATCAAGTGAAGTGCACCACTCCAATGTCCACCCCTTTCACAAGCACTCATGGCTGCGTTGAAGCAAGCAAGGTCTGGTTTCACCCCATATCCGCCACGTCCGGTAGAAAACACCTCCGAGAAAAGCTGCATGCTGCGTTGCCATCTCCGACTCCGAGCACAAGCAATCAAAACTGAAGTGATCGAGGCCGCATCCAAACTGTTTGATGGGTCACTGCTTGACCAATCACTGCTTTGGTCTTGCCGCACTTGCCCGTTCTGCGCCAAAGGCGCCAAAGCCTGCTGCAGAAAAAACAAACTCACATGCCAGGCGTTGCCCTGAGCACAAAGATTGGTTACAGTGCTCCAGGTTGTTAGGTTTGGAAGCAGCCGATTCTGCCAGAGTTGACTACACAACTTAACTGCAAGCTGCCAGCGACTTGAGCCGCTCCCCGTTCCTCCCAAGGATCTCATTGTGGAATTTATTGTGATTGTATCTGGTTTGGACTGTGCTTCTGTCATTTGGGCAAGCAATCCACAAGCACGTTCCCACTGCTTAGCACGGCTACAGGCACTAATTGTGGCATTCCATGTAATGTTATTTGGTGTCGCAAACGGTGATACCATGGGGGATGCCAAACAGCGAAACAAACGCAGAGCATGCTGCCAAAAAGAACCACGATCACACGCTGCCAACGCTGCACCGAAGCTAACAACATTCACAGCATGGCCATGCTGGAGAGCCTCATCCAAGAGTTCAATGCTCTTCCCCCAGTTGTGAGTTTTGGAATTCGCAGTAATCTGTTTGTTCAGCGGAACCGCTGAAGCATTGAAGTCCAACACGTTGCCTCGTCGAACTTCGCACAAGACTATGTTTCTCCTCTGGATGACCCTACGAAAGGTTGGAACGTGATTCATGTAGCCGCTGTAGCCAAAATGCTGCGCACGACTTGAACATCATCGAAGACACTTGGATTTTTTGGTGGGAAGTTTTGTCTTCAATCTCCTGAGGATTCACAATACCCTGGCCTTCAAAGATTGGCAGCCAGCGGCTCAGAGCCACACCACGCGCGACCTGTCGCGGAACGGTTTTGAGCAGCCGAGCAGCCACTTCGAAAAACCACAAGCTAAGCCGCAAAAGCAAGTCTAACATGAAGATTATCTCCAGTGGTCACATGGTTTATTAAAAGAACTTCCATCTCCATATTTTTTTTGTTGTGGATATCAATCAAAACATATCTATATACTCTATCTACCATTATCTAGATAGATATCTATCAAATCATCTCAGTTCATATCTACCCATCCTGGTAAATTAACATGACTCTTAAAAAAAAACATATGTTTCAACATGTTTGATGGGTAAATCAGCGAACTCAAGGGCCCCTTTCCATAGCTTGTTGTATGACCAGAGGCCCGGGACCCGGGAGCAGCGAGGTTCCGTGGCCTCGATGCGTGGCGCCTCCACGTTCTGCCGTTGGTCGCTGCCCATCTTCTCATTGAGCCTAGGCCGTGGCACGCGCGGCACGCGTGGCACGCGTAAAGGGGCCTTCAAATAGCCAAGTTGAGATGTTGAAGTGGCTGAATTCTGTGGTTTATGGATGTTGATGGTAAAAATAACGAGTTATATAATGGGCATCATAAACCAACTTGTAGCTGGGGGGCACCATCCTGTAGCCATGTTGCTGTGGGGATAGGGATAGGGGAATCCCCTAAATGGCCCACCTGGTTCTCGCCATCCACTGCCCCAAATGTTTGCTGCCAAACAGCAGGTTGGCTCGACGCGCCACCTCTGCATAGATCTCCGGTTTGGACCAGAAGTATGGCCCCACCGGCCCCACCGTGGCACGATCCAAGAAGGTGAACAGGGTGTCCAAGTGCATGAAGGCCCGCTGCTTCGGGATAAAGACCTTCACCTTAGCTGATCACTGCACTTTCTGGTGTGTACTTTTTGGTAGGAATTGATGGGACTGGCTGGGACTGGATGGGAATGGATGGGACTGGCTGGGATGATTGTTGATATATAGTTATGGCATGGCTTATAGCGATCATTCCCCCATTCCCGACGTTTAGCACCAGTAAGCTGACGCTTCAAATGGCTCAGGTGCTATCAATTTTTGGATTGGGTACCAGAGCTACGAGGGGTGTGTCCCATGTTCTTTCCATCCAGGGTAAGGTTTCTTGAAATGTGTCCCCTAGAAATCAATTCCAGGATAGGAGGATACACCTCAGAATCCATGATAATTTAAGTGCATCAAAATCTCAATAGTTCTTCATCTTGGCTCCTTCCCTGTGATTTTCTACGGGGCCCCGTCCAAGCCAATGGAACCCGGGGCCCATCGGGGCCCCGAGATGAACACATTGGACCAAGTTGCTACCCGCTGGACTGGGGTCTCTTCCTCAGAGATCCCATCCGGGAGATCCGGATCAAAGGGGGTCAAGCTGGAAATGGGGCCCCATGTCATAAACCGCAGGGGATGAATATGATTTTTAATGTACCCAAATATACCCAATATATATAGTCATCCTGGAGTAGATAGAATCCAGTTTCGTAGGGGGCGTTGTTTTTTTTTGAAAAAACCCAGGGTTTTTTGACCCAATACTAAACTATATATTCGGACCCCCTAGATAGAATATTCCAAAATCTACTCCAGGATGCTCAAAATGTGTTTTTTTTTCCTTTCCTTTTCAAAACCTTCCAATTTATTTGTTTCTTTCAAATTTTCCTTTTCAAACAGCTGCAAAAATAAACTTTGGATGGTAAGATCGTAGACGTAGATTCCTACTTTTCTCATTTCCTTTTCCTTTCACACTTTTCCCTTCAAAAATCTGTAATTGTGAACTTTGGATGGTAAGATCGTGGATTCCAGCTTTTCTCATGCCATGTTCCTTTCAAAGTTTGATTCCTGCTTTTCTCATGTCCTTTTCCTGTCACAGTTTTCCATTCAAAAACCTTCAATTATGAACTTTGGATGGTAAGATCGTGCATTCCAATATTTTTTTTCCTTCCATTTTCCTTTCCAAGTTTCCTTTTCAAACAGCTGCGAGAATGAACTTTGGATGGTAAGATCAGCTATTCCTACTTTTCTCATGCACTCTTCCTTTCAAACACAGTTTTCCGAACTTTGGATGCTCGATCTTGGATTCCTTCCTACTTTTCTATACTTTTCTCATCTCCTTTTCCTTTCACAGTTTTCTTTTCAAAAACCTACAAGACTGAACTTTAAATGGTAAGATCGTGGACTCCTTCTTTTCTCATCCCATTTTCCTTTTGTTGCTTCTTTTCAAAAACCTGCAATTTCAACTTTGGATGGTAAGATCTTGGATTCCTACTTTTTTAATGCCATTTTCCTTTTAAAGTGTGCTTTCAAACAGCTCCAAGAATGAACTTTGGATGGGTAGATGTGGAGGAAGGGGCAGGGAACACCACAAATACATGCTTAATTCCAAACATCCTTTAAAAATTCAGTCTTTTCATGGTTCTAGAGGATATTCTATCTATAGTTTTGCCCAACTGTCCTAGCACAGTACTAGCACAAATGAACTTTGGATGGTCGATCTTGGATTCCTACTTTTCTGTACTTTTCTCATCTCCTTTTCCTTTCACGGCTTTCTATTCAAAAACCTGCAAGACTGAACTTTGAATGGTAAGATCGTGGATTCCTTCTTTTCTCATCCCATTTTCTTTTTGTTGTTTCTTTTCAAAAACCTGCAATTTCAACTTTGGATGGTAAGATCTTGGATTCCTACTTTTTAGATGCCATTTTCCTTTTAAAGCTTGCTTTCAAACAGCTCCAAGAATGAACTTTGGATGGGTAGATGTGGAGGAAGGGGCAGGGAACACCACAAATACATGCTTAATTCCAAGCATCCTTTAAAAATTCAGTCTTTTCATGGTTCTAGAGGATATTCTATCTATAGTTTTGCCCAACTGTCCTAGCACAGCACTAGCACAAATGAACTTTGGATGCTCGATCTTGGATTCCTACTTTTCTATACTTTTCTCATCTCCTTTTCCTTTCGCAGCTTTCTTTTCAAAAACCTGCAAGACTGAACTTTGAATGGTAAGATCGTGGATTCCTTCTTTTCTCATCCCATTTTCCTTTCGTTGCTTCTTTTCAAAAACCTGCAATTTCAACTTTGGATGATAAGATCTTGGATTCCTACTTTTTTTATGCCATTTTCCTTTTAAAGTTTTCTTTCAAACAGCTCCAAGAATGAACTTTGGATGGGTAGATGTGGAGGAAGGGGCAGGGAGCACCACAAATACATGCTCAATTCCAAGCATCCTTTAAAAAATTCAGTCTTTTCATGGTTCTAGAGGATATTCTATCTATAGTTTTGCCCAGCTGTCCTAGCACAGCACTGGCACAAATGAACTTTGGATGGTCGATCTTGGATTCCTACTTTTCTATACTTTTCTCATCTCCTTTTCCTTTCACAGCTTTCTATTCAAACACCTGCAAGACTGAACTTTGAATGGTAAGAACTGGGATTCCTTCTTTTGCACAGCTTGCACATGGCTGTTTTGACGTGTTTTCCTTGTTTCAATTTTTGTGGGTGATAATTTGACCCACACCCATTCCTTTATTGGGTTTGACTATTAAATACCATTGCCAAAGGATCTATATTTCTGGGAACCACCAGCAACAGTGACAATTTCTTTGGAAGATTTTGGGCTGAAATTCGCATGCCAGAACCTAATACACCAGCATAATGACAACATTTGGTCGTCATTCCAAAGGCCCAAACAACCAAATCACAAGCTAAATGACCGCTTTTGTGATCATTTTAGAGGGACCGTTTTTTTTACCAATCATCGACCCGGATTTTTGAGCCATTTTGGGATTCTATCTATAGGTTTTTTTCGGACCGTTTTTTTTTTGAAATTCCAGAGATTCTATCTACTCCAGGATGACTATAATTCATAAACCCCAACTAGGGATTATTATTATTACTAATTACTATTATTATTACTATTATTATTATTATTATTATTGACTGTAGCACATCATTTTTTGTACACCTGGAAGATTCTTACTGAATAGATGAGGATTTAGACTGCTGGGGTCATTCCTGTTGAAGTGGAATAAATGTGAACCGACCCACTCTTGCCCAACTTTGGGAGTCTGTAGGGGCTATCTCCTCCCAAGTGGATTGGCGTTGTAGCCCTATCGTGTCAGTATCACTATCCAAAATGCCCATATTTTTCAAATCCCAATGTTTATTGTTCAACCCTCATTTGTGGCAGTCCACATCCCGTGTCGGATTTGCAGTCACCATTGTTGTTGGGTCACTTATCACCATCTTTGACGCAAAAAAAATAACATTGAAACTATCACCTTTTTTTCCCACTTCCAAACCAGGCGGCCTCCTAAACGGGGACCTCAAAATCCAAGTTATTCGTAATGGGAACACCCAAATTCTTTCGGCTGTATTTGCCCATCTTTTCCAACTTGACCCCTCAGAATTTTCGCCACGGCGGCGAAGAGGAATTTCGCCAGCTTATCTGCCCCCTTCTCGTTGGTCCGTTGCGACACGCCCACCAGCACCGTTTCGCTGTCCGCCACCAGGATATCACCTCCTGCAGATGTGCGGGGCAGCCACCAGCCATTGCTGAGTTGGTGCACAGTTCACTAGGTTAATTGTCAGATTTGGTTTACATAGGTTTACGGTAGATATATCTAAAGTTGATATGAGTTATTGGGAATTATAAACCAACATAACCGGTTTTGCATCACTTTGTCTTGCCAAAGATGGGAATTTTCAACGGCAAAAATGTGATTTCATGGGATTTGGCCATAAAAAATGTTGACTTACCCTAATCTGGATTTGATAGGATCTAATCTAATGGGATTGAGGACATTGTACGGGTCTGTCTTATAAATAGCAAGTTTAATGGGACATTAACTATCCAATGTTTAAGGTGCCCGATTTTGGGCCAAACCCAAAGAAACATGTTGAACCCCCGTCGGGGATAGATTGGGATACCACTTGCAGTTGCTAACTTCCGTATTCCAGTTATCATACATGCAAGTGCACCATAATTTAACTCCATGGTTCCCTAAACATAGTGGCAATTTGTGAGTTTGCTTGGATGTTTGGGTTGTAGAACAAGCAATCAGCTGTAGAAGTAAAGATGACCTTGCTCATGTTGATAACAAAAATCGTATGACACACAGAGATGCTACATGAGAAAGCTGCAAGATTGCACATGCCCAAGTTGTGATGGCGGTCCATGTATGAGTGTGTAGGTATGTGTGTGTGTGCGTATGAATGTGTATATATACACAATAAATCATGTTCTGGCCTATACATTTATAGCATTATACACTAATATCTACCAACAAATATCAACCATACAATGTTTATCAATGTTTGACATGTTTTCCCCGTCCTTCAATGGTGACTTCAGGATCATCCACTAGGCCTTCATAGATTTGATATACATTTTTTTTCAGAACCATAGGGACATGTGTTTCAGAGGAAAAAAAACTAGAAAATACCAAACGTCACTTCTAACTGACTTTGAACAGTTCAGCCCTAGAAACTACTTTTGTCTTTCACAAACCGAAAAGCTTAAGACAACACGTCGCCATGTCCAGCCTTGACAACACGAGCAAACAATTTGGGCGCCAATTCAAACTTAGAACGTGCCATTTGCTTTCTCAGATTCAGGACGACAAATCGTTGTCGCCCGAAAGTGCTACAGCGAGCGCAGTTTTCCACGAAGACAAAGGGTGTTCCAAAAATACTGGATCTGGCATGGCCGTAGCTATGACCCAACCCTTGCTCTCTGGGTCTTCATGGAGTTCCATCCTACGAGTACTTATCCGATTGTTCACAGTGCGACTTCCGTTGCTTCAACTATCATGGGAGGGAGGGCCAAAAAGAAAATATTGGTTGCAAAACGGGTGGAAAAGTTTTGTTTCTTTTTTGACCCACCTCAACCTCACCCTTGAGATGAGAATGGCAATGGATGAAAGTGAACTGCAATGAGATTGTAAATGTGGAATGTTTGCACAGGTTTGTTCCTCCAAGAGTAGTGCAAGAGAATTTACAACCATTTAAACAGACAATTTCCTTGGAACAAAATTGGAAGTTCCAAAACAAAGGTTGTTGGTTTCAAGACCCCTGTTGTATTTCAAGAAACACCTGAGGGAAAAATTTTATATCCCAAGGAATTTTTTTTCCAATTGTTTCATCAAAGATAATGCTCTCACTTCGTGACAGCACTCATCTTGTGTAAAACAACTCAGGTGTTCTATATATAGGGAAATATACGATACATAACAGGGGGAAACCAAATATGAATAAAAGGCAAACGTATCAGTGTGTATATATGTATATGTGTATATATGTATATATACATATTAAGAGGTTCATACGATACGCGCGCTCGTAAAACGACGTTCTGAAACATGGATCACTAAACAAAATTCGAAAAATCTGACAAATCTGAAATGATGGAATGGTTGTCGCTCAACTGCGCCTTTTTTCTGTTTGCTTCTAGCCTGGGGAGTTTTCACGACATTTGCCTGAGCTTGGATGCAGTTGTTGGAACCTGCAAAGCTACGATGTCCAGTTGACTTGGTCATCTGGCATTTCGTTTGTGCTGCTCACGTTGTGTCCCCCCGTTTGAGAAGAGCAGTTCCAAAAGGTTGTTTGAACACTGTCAATACGACATGGGTCAAGTCGTCTGATACATCGATGACTCCGCCATCCGTCACTTGGAAGCGGTGCTTGGCTTCAGCTAGCCTGTTCCTTGACAGCAAGTCTCCTGGGTTGGAAAAAGAACATACACGTTCCACCCATGAATATACCACCCAAAGGACTTCCATGTCAGCAAGGACGCGAGTCAAGGCTCGCATGCTGCGAGAAGGACTAGATGCTTTGATTGCACTGATCCGAGACGCCTCATTGTCAACCCATGATATCAGCCGTCTGTTTTCCAGCTTCCAGCGAAAAAACCAGCGAATTGCCACGAGGGCCCAAAGTTCAATCTGGGAAATTATTTGCTCTCCTGCAAATTCGAGCCAGTGTTTCTGATTGTTTTCCTTGATTGGCAAACGCCTCGGATATCACTGCTGTACATGCTCTGCAAGTAAAATGGAATTGGAGTAGTTTTCAACTCAACTGTCTGCACAACTGGACATGAACTGCATCTGCAAACATGTATGTACAATGTACATGACAGCTATATATGTATCTATGGCAGGGATTGCAACAGCGTAAGTTTCCACCACCCCGCCTCAATTTGACCATTTGGTCCAAATTGCAAATTTCAAAATCCGTCAGACATTCATCTAATGTCTCATGGCAAATTGGGCTACGGATTTCCTCACTCCATTCAGTAGTTCAAAAAGTCCAAGCTCATGTGCTAAGGTCACCATATAGGGCTCGAGGTCCAAGAACTGCTAGCTAAATCGAATACCGCAAATGGGTGCACTCTGTCATCTCATTCTCAATGGCATCCATGGACAGCTGGTCGTTGCGCACGGCTGCTGCTTCATATTCAGCTCTCAGCCTTTGCATACGGGCAGCCAGGATCCTATTGGTCTCTCTCATGATGTTCTCCAAGTGCATATCGGTATATCTTCGATTGAAGGCTGCAGTATCTTCCTCATCTGGAGCTCCATGGTGAACCATGCGCCATAGCTCGTCATCTGAAACTTCATCTATTCCAGAGTTTTGATACCTTTCAACCTTTTGTTGATAGGTCTCATTTCTTTCCTCAACATCTGATTCATCCACTTCATCTGTCGTTGGCACTTCCTCTTCAGCTATCTCATCCAAGCCATGCTCCCTTCGGTATGCCTTCAGCATCGAGAGAACTTTTCTCAGGGCAACATCCATGCGCAAGGTTTGAAGACGTCCTTGAAGTGCAGCACCAAAATGAGCTGCCACCACCAAAAAGCCACCAAGCAAGCAAATGATGGTCAGGAGGAACGCCATCACCATGCCAAAGGGTCCTGAAGTGCTCGAAGAGCTGGAAGTCGAAGGGTCAGAAGGCAATTCCATAGCCATCGTGCTGCTCAAGGCGTTGATGAGTAGCACTCGCATCAGGCTTTTGGAGGTTGTCCCACTAAAACCCATTTGTCTGAGGTTCTTGATACCAACACGTAGTATTTGTTGTTCTTCCAACTTTTCTGCAAAACTAAAAACTGGAGCCAACAAATTGGCTATTGGCCATGTTGTATACTTTGCATAAGTTCATCTAATATTCCATACGGTCTCGGGTCAATCTCTTTGTACCCAAATCAGATACGTTTTCCTTTGTACCAACTTTTCCAACAGTCATGAAACCCTCTTTGGTTTTCTCTTGCATCCACAGGATCCTAAGACTGATGTGTCTTATCCTGCCTACTCCAACACGGCATAGGAAGGCTCTCGCAGCAGAGTTGTCCATCGCCAAATGAACGTTGATGTTGTCCTTGTCCCCAATGGAGAACCTGAGACAGTGGTACATCAAAATTGCGTCACTGGTTGCTGACGCAGCTGCATATATTTCTGCCTCTGCTGATGAAAGCGCCAATGCTTTCTGAGAACGTGATGTGGAGTAGAGAAGACATCCAAACAGAAATAAATATCCTGAAGATACTGATCGACGTGATTGTTTGTGTTTCGCCCAATCTGAATCACTGTAAATCTCAAGAGTATAGTCACATGGATTGTAGTGAAGCAGTCCTTTGTGGGCCTCATACTTCAAAACCATCGCATGCTCAGTGCATCCCAAAAGATACTGAGCCAGGTGTCTCAAACACGCCATTGCCTGAACAGAAGGTGAAGACATACTTTGTGAAAGACCTCTGATAGTATATTGACATTCCACGTAATCACTTGATATATACAACAAGATACCAATGCATGACCTATAAACACTTGCATCTCCAGCACTCAGGTTGGCAGTCGTGTCAGGCTCATCCAGCATCGGGTGTCCTGGTGTCTTCTTTGGTTTCAAGCGTCGATTGATACAAAGTAGATCGAAAAGACGTTCAAGATGTTTAGGATGACTCTGAATTGCCATCTCGTCCTCAGAGATCAAAGTATGCTTTCTCTTCAAAAACGTAAGCTCATCATTTTCCTTCGACATGATCTCACATGAAATCTTGTACTTGGAGTTCAAAGCTGGAAGCAGTACATTGTCGAGGTACTTTTGGGTACTCAAACACAAAACATCATCAACGTGCAGCAGCATCAAACATTCACTATTTGGAGACCTAAGCAAACTGGGGTGCTGGAAAATCATTGATTTGAAGTTCACTGCTCAGAAAACCACTTGAATGCCTCGTGTCACATCTGCGAGCCATTTCGTTGGCCAGGTAGGACTTTTCCCAGCATGAAGTCCATTTTCTCACCTGTGGCAAGTTCACTTTTTTTTTTCCTCGAGTGTGGCCGATGTCGCACTATGGCTCGGTCCTTACATGAGCATAAGCAGAACCAGCCAGACGACCCGCAAATCCCCCAGCCAGACTTGCGTTTCGTCAACAGAAACAACAAACCAGACACACAAAAGGGGCCGGAGCCCAAACAAAAACACCCACAAAAAGATTTGCCAAAGGACACAGTTTTTTGTGGTCGGCGCCCGTTGCCTTTCGGCGGGTCGCACTTGAG